CTGCATTGCTATGGAGACCTCCTCGATGCTCTACTTTCTGGTTATTGTTAGAAAGCCGGCTCGGTGTGGGTGATTGGCTTCTTCGGGATGCATAGCTGCTATAATTCTTGTTGGTCTTAGTGATGGGCTTGGAAAGATTGATCTATATGATTTTCCGGTCTCATTCGCTGATTCTCGATTTATAGAATGCTTCTACAGGTTCTTCGAAGGTGTCCGACTCTTTCGCAATTGAAGCATCTCCAGCTTCCATTTTGGCTGTTTCGTTGTATATTTCATAGGATATTCAAGATTTAGGGAAAAGCATTAGTATTGGCCTCGTCACTTTCCTGGGGTTTAATTTCCCTCACTTTTGCGCAAGAAGGATAGGAGTTTTACCGTTTCATATTCCTGGGATGCAATCAGTTTCTCCCTCAGCGTCTTGTGATATTGTAGACGAAGGACTTGCTGCATTTCCACATCTTGTAGTCCATCAATGAATGCTTGAATTCCAAGTTGTTCTTGGAAATCTTTCGGCACCTGTGGATAGGCCAGATGAATTAACCTTTTTAAATCAGCCTCGAATTCCTGTAAACCCTCATTATGTTTCTGACTATGAACCTTCAGCTGGCTTTGGAATACCCGTTGCAAATGCTGCTGGCCATACCTTGTCTCCAAAGCTTGGACGAGAGATGAATAACTGGATTCTTCTTGGGGAAGTAATTTTAAAACGGTTGCTGCCTGACCTCGCAGTGACACTAGCAATTAAGCCGCCATCTCTTTCTCGGTCCAGCCATTGGCTCTAGCTGCAGCTTCAAATTGGAGTCGATATGATTCCCATGTTGTCTGACCGTCAAACGCGGGTGGCTTGAGGGTTTTGCTAGTATAATTTTGTGAAACTGGGATTCGAATGTGGCTCGGTTCGGTTATGGATGAAAACGAGGTAGTAGTGTTTGAAGCTTCAATGCTGTTCACTGAAGCTTGGCTGTGAATTATTTTTTCTAACTCAGCCATTTCAGCTCTAATTTGCCTTTCCAGCTCTACTCTAGCCTGTTATTGTTGTTCTAAGTTAGCTTTCAAATTCTTCTTGCTCTTTCTCTAAATTAGCTTTTAGATGCTATTGTTGTTGCTCTAATAGAGCTACTCTAATTTTAAGCTGTCTAACCTCTTGCTTGAAGGTTTCCTGGATTTGTAGCAAACCATAATTTCAATCGCTTCTTCCCTACGCCTCTCCTCCTTCTCATCTTCTTTCTTCCTACGCCTTTCCTTTTCCTCTTCTCGCCTTACTCTCCGCCTCTTCTTCCTTCCTGCGCCTATCCTTTTCCTCCTCTTCTTTCTTCTTATGCCTTTCCTTTTCCTCTTCTCGCCTTACTGTCTCCTCTTCTTCCTTCCTACGCCTTTCCTTTTCTTCTTCTTGCCTTACTCTCTCCTCATCTTCTTCCTTCCTACCCCTTTTCTTTTCCTCCTCTTCTTCCTTCCTGCGCCTTTCCTTTTCCTCTTCTCGCCTTACTCTCTCCTCTTTCATTTTCAAAAACCATGCTGGTGGGCCTGAAGCATCCACGCCTGCTTCGTACTCAGTGGATCTAGTATTTACCATGAACTTCTACCGTGTATCCCACCGCTGTCACCAATGTTACGCAGGTTTTTGGTATCACAATTTATTTCAACTGAACTTTAACAATAACAATGAAACTGAAAACATTAACGTGTAACGTCTATCATAAAACTGACGTCAGGATCATGCTTATATAGCTTGCTTCTAGAACCTTCGCGAACTGTCGTCTAGAATATTCTTGACGGGTAATGACATTTCTGGACTATTCTATCTTCTTTTACTTGTACTTTTACTTATGACGACCGCAGCACACTGTAGGGCGATGAGTAACATTCCACTTCTGTTTCTATCTGTACGTTTCCTATAATCACATCAAAGATCCAGAAGAGAGAGAAATTAATAGAAAAAATCTGATGTGTCCAACACATGACTTTCCTATCTAGTTATTATAGGTTTTTTCCGGTTATTTTGTACAACCTATTGCAGCATCTCTATAAATGTTTAGAGGATAAACTAAATATATACATTGCCCACATACACCTACCTTGAAACATTTTTCTATAGATATTCATGGAAAACGAAAATACTGAAAAATTTAAATTTCCTAAAATTTTTTCATTATGGTCCATTTTAGAAAAATCATGTATAAACAAAAATTATAGAGATCGATATCGCAAACAACTTTTATTTTAAAAACTTTCATAAAAATCAGAATTTTGCACATTTTGTCAAATTTCTCGAATACGGACCATTTCAGGAAATTTTTACATAAAACAAAAATTATAGATAATAATATTAGAACTAACTTTTATTTGAACAATTTTTTTCTCCAAACATTAATAACAGATAAAAATATAAAAGTGGCCTCCCATAAAGTACCCCCCCCCCCCCCCAGATGTTCCGACTGTGTCCAAAATCTAATCATTTCACGTCAGGCCGAAATAAAACTTAAGTTTAAAATTTAATGTTTTTTTCTTTATCCGTTTTTGAGTTTTCTTCAAAATTCGAAATTTACACATTTTCTCAAATATCTCGAATAAGGATCATTTTAGAGAAATTATGTATAGAATAAAAATTATAGAGAATTATATTACTTTTATTTGAACAATTTTTATAAAAAATTATTTTATTCACATTTTGTCAAATTTCTCGAATACATACCATTTTAGGAAAATTTTGTATAGAACAAAAATTATAAATAATAACATTAGAAGTAACTTTGATCAGAAAAATTTTCTTCTCCAAACGTAAATAACAGATATATTCCATAAAATATAAAAATGACCACTTATGAAGTACCCCCCCAGATGTTTCGACTCTGCCCAAAATCTAATCAGTTCATTAGACGCTGGAATAAAGCTTACACACACACACACACACACACACACACACACACACACACACACACGCACGCACGCACGCACGCACGCACGCACGCACGCACGCACGCACGCACGCACGCACGCACGCACGCACGGCACGCACGCACGGCACGCACGCACGCACGCACGCACGGCACGCACGCACGGCACGCACGCACGCACGCACGCACGCACGCACGCACGCACGCACGCACGCACGCACGCACGCACGCACGCACGCACTTACACACACACACACACACACACACACACACACACACACACACACACACACACACACACACACACACACACACACACACACACACACACACACACACACACACACACACACACACACACACACACACACACACACACACACACACACACACACACACACACACACACACACACACACACACACACACACACACACACACACACACACACACACACACACACACACACACACACACACACACACACACACACACACACACACACACACACACACACACACACACACACACACACACACACACACACACACACACACACACACACACACACACACACACACACACACACACACACACACACACACACACACACACACACACACACACACACACACACACACACACACACACACACACACACACACACACACACACACACACACACACACACACACACACACACACACACACACACACACACACACACACACACACACACACACACACACACACACACACACACACACACACACACACACACACACACACACACACACACACACACACACACACACACACACACACACACACACACACACACACACACACACACACACACACACACACACACACACACACACACACACACACACACACACACACACACACACACACACACACACACACACACACACACACACACACACACACACACACACACACACACACACACACACACACACACACACACACACACACACACACACACACACACACACACACACACACACACACACACACACACACACACACACACACACACACACACACACACACACACACACACACACACACACACACACACACACACACACACACACACACACACACACACACACACACACACACACACACACACACACACACACACACACACACACACACACACACACACACACACACACACACACACACACACACACACACACACACACACACACACACACACACACACACACACACACATCATCGCGAAAATAGTCAAAACGGATTCAGGGGACCTCAAAACGTAAAAATCCGTTGAAAACTCGAGGTCGAAAAAAATCATGATTCCTATACTTTCCTTATATCTGTATACAGATAGGAAAGTAAAAAGAGTGAATACTGGCTTCAAACAAATCCAGACCGTTACTTATTTGTATTTCATTTGTTTATATGAGTGTCTAATAATGAGATGTGTCAAATTTCCATGGCCATGTGGGATTTAAATAAAAACTAAACGGCATAAATTTACTCCTTTTTATATCAAATCGTTGCCAATATCACGAAGCGACGTAACTCGATTTTCACAACTTTACAAAATAGTGTTTTAAAGTTTTTTTATAAAGTTACATCTCTTCGTGAAATTATCAGATACACCGGTTAGATACGTGCTTTTTTAATAAATGTAATGAATTGAGATACGCAATTTCGTGAAATTGTAGAGCATATTTTTTTACATAATATCTCAATTTTCAATTTTTTTGAGTTATGTCACTTCGTTATATTGACAACGAAATATAGTCTATCATTTTTATTTAGAAATAGAGTTACTATTATACCTAGGTTAAATACATCGTCAGTTGCCTGCGGTGTACAATTATTGGAAAAGTACATGAGCTCTAATGGAAAATGAGATTGAAAATTAATTTAGAAGATAATTTTAAAATTAATTTAGTAATTCATTATACAGAATGTTAAAATATTTAGACAATGCTGTGAAAATAGAATCCTATTATATTTTAAGTAAAGAACTATTTTCATTATAGATGGAAAATCATTTTAAAACTATTGTCTATATTTTTATTAATAATATTTTCTTTCTAGTAAAATATCTGCTATTTCTTCAAGGATATCAAAGGCTAGGTGAGCGATATTTAATATATCTTCTTTTAATTATTACTTTTATAGATATGTTTTATTAATAAATCAATATTTTTTGTTTACATTAGACAGTTAACACAGAAGACAATAATTGGTCCAAGGTCACCAAGAAGGTAATCATTTTGATGATTTCAATGATGCGTATCGTATACTTAATTTGAAATGTGTTGTTATTATTATAGAGGTCATCGAAACCAGGAGTCATTGAGAGCTGTCGATCCAATTTGTTGGAAAACAGGGTAGGTAAACAAATATTTTTTGTGTTCCATTTCAACTTTTTACACATTTCTTTTATAACAAGTGATTCCTATCCTCCTGCTTCTTTGTATAATGGACCGTGATATACTCTAATTTTTTTAAACAAAACAATATAACTATGATAATGACTACGTCAGTGCTGTCATAATTAGATTTAGAAACATACATACTTCGTTTTTTATATCAATACGTTCTAGAGGTAATGTGATGCGACAATTCTTCTTTTATGATTTAACGCTGCATTGTCAAATCATCTACTGTTAAAAATCTCAGAACTAAAATGTAAGATCCGTCTTTATAAAAAACATACAAAATGTTATTAATACATTAGGTTTACGAAAAAAAAAACAAACCACTGATAATTTAATTGCATTGCCATGCAACTTTATCCTTATATTTGTTTCATTGAGGTTGAATAATATGGAGATGACATGCCATTAAAAAAGCGTCACCACTTCCCCCTCCCTTAGATGTCTTAGTTGTCAAAGAGCTGTCAAAACGTTTTTCAAATTTAAATATTTCGATGTTAATTTTGCATTAGTTAGTGTTTTTTATTTATTTTTTTGTATAAAAATCATGGCTAAGTGTGCAAAAAAGCTAATTGCAAAAGCTGTACAACCAAAGAACGGAAGAAGAGGTCTGATTTAAGTTTTCATAAGTAAGTGCGTAGATTAGCTAATATCCATATGGGAGTAGAAAGATTATTGTTTCTACACCCACATGGATATTACCTTATCTACACACTGATTACACAACGAAAAAGTATGCTATTGCCTTCAACCAAACGAATATGTTTTATATCCATTCCAGATAGTGAGAACACTGCAAAAAAATAAAATCTGCCAATCACCGTTCATATTTTGATCAACCGACTGCTATTATTTTTAAAATTTTTAAATAATTGACAATTCTGTCAAACTAATTATCAGTATATTTAAATATACATTAAAATAGGTTATTCTTTTGGAAAACGTTGTCATAGATGACTAAAGGGTATTGGGATAAATAATTGTGTGGTTCAAATGGTATTTTTTGTAGCCAATTCTTCAAAATTATTTTAAAATATCTTTTTAATATTGAAAATAAGTTCTACAAATTCATCATTTGGCAGTTGCAGATTTCCAAATGTATCATTGGTGTTATCATATGCCTTTAAAAAGCAATAAAAAGAAAAATCTTCTAATTCATCGCGATCTTTGTTATGTTTAAGACAGGCATTCGCAAGGCCTTTATTAAAAGATTCCATTTAAAAAACATACATTTTAATTTTCCAGGCAAAAAGATATTTTTAAAATATGTAGGTTTTTTTCAAATCCATATAACTTTTATTTAAAACTTTTTTGCGCGTCTACAACACAAATATTGAAAAATTACGCACTAATGGGACACCCTGTATAAATTATATTTTTAACACTGAAAATTTCTTATAATGTGGTACTTATCGGGAACATGAAAGAATGTTTTCTTTAACCCTTATTAGAACAGCTTTTGACTGTACAAACAGAATCATGTCTATTTTTTTCACTCATTCTACTCACAGCTAAAGAGTCACCAAAATAATAACAGTACCTTTAACTTAATACAACAAAATCAACGAAATTATAGGCTTAACGAAATTATGCAATCAACGAAATTATACGCACGGCTCAATACCTTATCACAGCTTATTGTATAAGCTGTGTCCTTATCTAAGTACGCTTCTGAACGCCAAAGCCGTCTTTTCCGTCCGAAGGCGGAGCTTAAAGCCTTGATTTTTAAGAACCTTCCGTCGCGAAATTTGCCGACGAAGTTCGACGACGGAATGCCTTCGCGAATTCTGTTCGCAAAATTCGTAGGACACCCTGTTTTTTAAGAAGACAGATTGACCTTTAATTGGACGGAAATGATCAATTTCAGTACGCAAATGAGTGCTATGGCTATGGAGGGTTTTCTACAGCTTTTATTAGAGGAAGACTTTGCTCATGAAGAAGACGAGTTGCTACTGGAGCTATTAAAAAATGAAAAATCGGATAACATTTATTTAAAAATAAAGAAAAATTTCAAGAATATGTTCGATTGTCGCCAGTTTTGTTTGATGACATTCTAAGATCTAAGTTTTAAGATCTATCCATTTCTCCTCATCTTCGTCGGAAAATTGGAGCTGTTGATAACTTTTATTGGACATATTTTATAACTATAATGTCCACACCTCACGAATTTCAAACAAGAACTGACAGCGGAATTGCGCTGAAACCAAATATGTTTTGATTCCAACGGACAACGCCGGCACATTCCGTTAAAAATAAACGCCTAACAGGTTTTAAAAACGGACGGTTTGGATAATACATATATCTATGGATAATACATTTTTAAATACGGCGAACTTTGCGAATGCATTCCGTCGACGAACTTCGTCGCCAAAGTTCGTGACGGAATGCTCTTAAAAACCAAGCCTTAAGCGATGCGCGACGGAATCGACGTAAACCGTTGCCGCCAAGAGGGTGTTTTAGCTGTATCAAGCCCATGACACTCCCTGAGCGGGAAAAAGACACGCAGCTTTTACTGCGCTGACGTTTTCGGGATATAATAATAATAATACTCTCCCTAATTCACCCCCTTACGAGTGAATTTTAACCCCAAAAGCTGAGCATGTCCGGGGAAAGGGACGGCTATTATTATTATTTGCCGTGGCGCTCCGGGGCGACTTAAAGATGATTGATGGTGCCATTTGACTTACAGGTGAGGAAAACCCGGAAAACCTCACCCACCATCATCGAGACGGTAATGTATGGCGAATTTTTTTAATCTGCATGTCATAATCAACAGAAATTGAATTTCTATTAATACGCCACACATCAAATCCTAAACCGAACCATGCAATTTAATTAAAAATCCACATGGTCCGGTCTGGGATTCGAAACCCAGCAGTCTCAGACTCATAAACTTGCCTATAAATGAATATAAGCGCGATAGACCGCTACCACTTGTCATAAATCCGGTTAAAAACTCACTACCATGCGCAGGCAATATATATTTCGTACACAAATACAAACTTTTGTTTACATTTTATCTAAGTAGTTTTTGTAATACATTCACTGCTTAAAAAACGGAAAATTTGTTATTTTGATAGTGGATTTAGATCAAAAATACCCCAAATACACTTTAGTGTGTGTTTTATCCTTATTGTTACGTATTATTGCTCGTTTTATTTGAGGACATTGGAATAAATAGAGTACTAGAAGTAATCAAGCTAAAAAAGTGTGTTATAAAAAGAAAATACAGTTCATCAAATTTCTAGAGGTGTTCGACGCCCAGACAGAGAACGCGCTACGTGTGACTAAGATAGCTATTGTACAGTCTGCTAAACAAGTTATTTTAAATAGTTTTTAATATTTTTAGGTAATTAAATTTTAAAAGTGTGGAATAGTTTAGGGATTAAATTGGTCTGATTGGACTTTCTTAGAACGTTTTTAAAAGCAGCTAAAGATAGTATGTAGAATTGAAAATAATTATTATGCCATAAAAGGTGTTTTGGAATTCCTTCAACCTTTTGAAATTGAGTCAGAAAATATAAATTTTATAGGATAGCGGAAAATACCTATAATTTTTTTGTAGGCCTTTGTAAATCGTGGAAATAGTTTATATTTTATTTCTACCTTATTAAGGAAAATGGTACCTATTATTAATAACGGTTGTTTCTGAAACATTACTAAAATTTTCGAAATTTTGTTTTTCTACAAAATAATAAACTATACTATTTAGAAAAAAATTTATTTCTCTTATAATTTTATAAAAAATGACAGGGGAATATTTACATTTCTTGATCTATTAAACAAAACGATAAATTATCTCGACGGAAGCTAGCTTTACATTTTTGTTGGTGGTTTCATGGGTTTCATATCAATTTTTTGTAATTGTAGTTTACACGTACATATACCTCTTAATACTTGTTTGCTTTATTAAAAAAGTGTGTTGTTGTGATTTACGTCGAAATAAGTCAAAAACAACTTGAAACCCCATATAAAATCAAAAAGGAGAAACGGAAAAAAATTGAGCCTGTAAATGAACACAACTCAGAAACAAAAATAGCTATCTAATAATAAAAAAATAAAATTTGATTCTTGTGCAGCTTCATCTATATCATTAACTGTTTTTGGTTTTTTAATGGTTTTTCTTGGTGATGAAAATTCCGATATCTCACGGTTATCGATTCTTTTTTTCTCTCTAGAAATGCGGACGACAGTGTTTTTAGATACTCCTGTGGCTGCAGCAACACGATCATTTACATTTTTAAATGGTATTGAAGGTGAATTAAAGTTTCCTTCTCTTCTCATAAACTCTATAACATTGGCTATTATTTCGCGAGATTGACTGTTAATCACGCGGCCTCTTAATTTGCTATTAAACTTCATACTTAGGTTCTATTAAACTGTAATGAGCAAAAAACAAACGAAAATAAAAGAAATGTTTTAGCGAAATTTACATCTGACATTTACGTCTGAATGAAATAGTGAAATACTTGATGCGCAGAGTGTACTTTCATTGCGTAAATCCGTCGGGATGCCTGTCAGTAGTGCTTTCTCTGTCTAGCCGTCGAAAGCCTCTAGAAATTTGATGAACTGTACATTGCATTCGACTGATTTATGTTTTATATATTTTCGTGAAGTATTTCCAACATGCTAGTTCCTTGAATGGTTGTAAATTGTAAGAATATAAGTGATAGAAACTGATCTAGTGCTTTGTGCTTCGTTGTTTTTGGTTGGTATCCCAGCCCAGCATTCCTAGCCAGCAGTAGTAACAAAAACATTAACATTGTCTTCATTCAACCCGTTTACATGTACATGATTTATCAGCTAAAAGCAAAATACAATATTTCTCTGCAAAATGTAAACAACGCTACAAGGAAAATTGCTCATGTATTAATTCAACGATTATATCAAAATATATTATTTTTAACCGACTTCAAAAAAGGAGGAGGTTCTCAATTCGTCGCGATATTTTT